AATATATTTATTTATTATTTTTTTTAAATATAAAACTATATTATATAATAAATATATTAAATTAATAAATAAATATATTTATTTTTATATGAGGTAGCTCGTCTTGGTAACTGGCTCGTCTTGCTGTCTAGCACCACCTTTAGGTGGTGAGTGAAACGAGACGCCTAAAATAGTGGGGCGGGCACGAGTATCGCATGGGGGTAGAACAAATCGTCTTCAGGCGTAGACGCGGCTGGTTTGAATCCAGGGCTTCATGCTCTAGAGATTTGAGGCCCTCCTCCTTGCTCTACACATGTCACTGCCCCGTGTTGTCCTCCGTACCAGCTAAATACCCGTCCCCGCTGGGTGCTGCAGAAGTACCAACGCACCAGTGTCATGATGCGGTGATACTTAGTAGCTAGAGGCCGACGTCAGCCAGTCAGAGTTGAGTAATGGAACCTTACTAAGCAAGTCAGTGTCTCCGCATCGTCGAGTTTCAGCGCATCGGACCTTCCACATCAATTCCAGGATCTGGTCAAGGGCCATCGACACAGAAGGGGCAACAAAGGAGCCGGGTCTTCAAGCCACTCGAAGGTACTTCAATTGTCATAAAAACGTTTTTCTCTTCTTTGATGCGTCCCCGGAAGCTGACCTTGCTGACAATTTCCACCAGAGCGTCTCACCCGTCTGCCGCGCGGGAGACAAAAATCAAGCTTGCCACAAGACACACCTCACTGCAACGCGTTTTTCCGATTAAAATATTGCACAATGGGTCCTCCTAAACCCCCTGTTCCACATGTGGCGCCTATTTATCGGTTGACGGCCACTGCTCTTGGTGCCGGAATGTGGTTCTGGGTGAGTAGCAACACAACCCACGTTCTATTGCATTTGGAATATCTGGTATCCAACCGCAAGACTCGATTCTGGAACTATACTATTCTTAATCTATACTGATGTGATCGTGGAAAATAGTTGATGTACAGGGCCAAGAAAGACGGTATGCCACATCCTACGATCCACACTCCCTTAATAGTCGCCCAATACATCATCCGATCTCGAGGTATATTCTTCCTGTGGAATATCTACTAATTTTGAAGCAACAGGACCCGTTTTGATGGGCTGGAAACACCCTTGGGATCACTAGAGGCCGGCGGCCAACACCAGGGCTGGAAATGTGACTGGCAATGTCAAGCTGGAAGTATATTATTTGTATAACGCACACTGGGATTAGGGCCCTAAATACAATTTCTAAGCAGCGCATGGCTTCTCAAACAAATATTGTGCAACTCCCCAAGTGTCTCCTCCTCCGTAAGCGAACAATTCTGAGCAAGCCATGTAGAATATTTGCCAGCGATTATACCAAGTTAATGCGTCTTGTTCTCCATACGTCTCAACCAGATGAGGCCACATTTGCTTCCTGTTGGAAATCATTGATGACAACCAGTCCTAGAAGTAATATTAATAGGCAATCCAGTGCTTCATTACTGGCTTACTTGGAACGCACCTCGCATGTCTTTGAGTAATGTGACCCATTCACCCACCACTGCCTTTTGATGGACAAGTCCTTCTGAAAGTAGAGCAACAGATCAACACAGGGCATAGTGCCGCCTGTAAAAAAATGTGTTGTCATCCAGCCGTCTTCGTAGTCATATGGTGTGGTGTGGTGCGCGAATATGTGCACAAAAAGCTTTCCGCCGGCTTTCAAGGCCCCAGAGATCTTGGCCATGAGCAGCTCGTAGTTTTTCATATGCTCGAAAAGCTACCGGGGTCGTAGAATGTTCAGGGAATTGGCACACAACAATGGAAGGGCGGAGTGGAACTTACCTCAATAGATACGATTCGATCAAAGCTTTCGGGTTCAAATTCATAGTCTACAACATCCCCAGTGATTACACTAACATTGGTAATATTTCGACGTGCCGCCTCGGATTCGATATAGTGTTTCTGCGTCCTGGAATTTGAAAATGCGACAATATTCGAATTTGGCAGCATCTCGGCGAAATACAATGCTCCTGAGCCCCAACCACATCTAACATGCTACATTAGACGGCCTGCCTCTTGCATAGCTGTTTTTCCCTTCGCCAGGGCGCATGCATGGAGTGAGCGTAGATCTTCGCTGGGGAAGATGTGCGCCATAAGGACTCACCCAAGATCAAGGATATCCATGCCATCTCTCAAGTCTGCCTTGTCAATGTATGACCTCAGCATTGCAGTCTCGGCTTGTGCAAGTGTTTCATCACCTTGTGGATACAGGCAGCATGAATATTTCATTCGCGGTCCAAGGCACGCAGCTAGGACACCAGTGCCAACTTCGTAGTGTTGCTTATTAGCCGTGTCTGTGGCAATGGCCATTGGTCGAGTCCTGAGCCTCTCGATGTATGCCATCTTAGTTTCGCATGCGTCGGTGAGAGACTTGCTTTCAATGCTTCTCAACCGCTCCCGGAGCTGCTGCCGAATACCTAATCTGATGAGAGCGTGGGGCAAATACCCACGATCTAAAATCCATTCTGACCGCACACGACGATACGGTTGAGAGTTAGAAAAGTTCAGAAAACATATGCTGTCCTGGACACAGTACTGGGACAGAAGGGTTGGTCCATGGTATAATCTACCGCAACGATTCGCCGATAGTCAATTTAAAGGTCAAAGCAACTTGCCACATACCGTAGTTCATGTTTGGATACTCGTAATAATGAAGTTCTCGGGATCCTCGGTGGCTCCCAGTTCCCGCAGGCTGGTAGTCGAAGTCTTAGATGCAGGAGAGGGCAGTTTTCTAGAAGAAAGGATGTAAAAAGATAAAGGATAGGGTGCCAATGTCGCCAAACTATTTCATATTGGTTTCATACATATAGCAGCTGTCAGGGCCTGGGTCAGTGTGACGGATGAGTCAAATGGATGTAGTCGGATGAGGAGGTGAGGTCATAGACTGGCCTGTATCACCTGAAGCAGTTTATCCACGGCAAAACCTAGGCCCGCCGCCCCTGCTTCACCGACAGAAGTGATACACATACGCACGGACCTTCAATTATGATTGTACGTATTGTGTTCAATGTTATCTCTATCCTGCTACCAGCCACCAAACCCTTAAATTTTCCACATTTCTTCACGTATGACTTTATACTTCTTGCGCATTTTTGCCCTTCCCGTAATTCGCTGCTTCGCATAACCAATGACTCTTGCAAGTCGCATTGCCAAATACTTTTCGAAGGTCCAGGCCAAAGCAAAGTACGCCAGGCCCAAAACCATGAGGAATAGTTTATAATCCCACTCCATATGACTGAGTTCCATTAGTTTCTTAATCCACTGCGCAGGACCAACTACCATGTAAACAGTTATGATGAGCGCAGCCGCTATAGTGAGAGTGAAAGGCCCTGTTTAACGTTAGTGGTGTAATTTCTCTCATTCCGGAAGCTCCGTGCAACTCTCTCACAGTTCTTCGCACTATCCTGCCTGAACGGTGGGCCTGCATTCAAGACAACTCCGGATAATATATACTCAAAACAAGACGACAAAAAAAGTGCCGTGTTCTCCGAATTTTTAATATTTGGTTCGTCATGCCCGACCTTGGGCGGTTTGTACCATGCTTGCTCTCTTACGGCAAGAAAAGCGGCCCCTTGAATAAGCACGCAGATAGCCATGAGTCCAAGAAGGGGTGTCAAAACTTTGCGAGAAACGAGATCCGCGGTTGGCCGCTTGCGACACAGCAATGGAGCTGGTCCTGCCCAGCCCATAAGTATAGCGATGGGTAAAATGAGCAGCAGATCAATAAAGAGAAATTGAAAATCGCCCAAATTAGACGCCTTAGCATAGAGAAAGCTGACCGACGTGAACTGTATAGCCGAATACAAACTCATGTATTTGAAGCAACTGAAACTGGTCACGAGTGCCGCTCTCCCCTCCCTAATAATCATTAAAACTTGAGAAACAAGCCAAAACAGAGCAGAAAAGAGGTAAAAGACGGAGAGAGAGACAGAGAAGCTGACAGGAAGCGGGAAGCATACCTAATAACCTCAGGCACACACCGAATGTCGAATACACGAGACGTAAAAGGAGCGGCAACAGAAGCTTCTGCCTCAGAAAGGGATATGCCAACATCAGCGGCCTTTAAAGCACCACAATCGTTAGCCCCGTCGCCGCAGAAACCACAGCAAAAGTCGATGCTTTGTAGCTTTTCCACAAGTTCATGCTTTTCGTCCGGAGACATTCTAGCAAATATTTTCCCTCGGACGAGCATCTATTGAACAAGGTCAACTTCATATCATAGCACAAGGCCATTTAACACATACGCGTTGCAAAACATCCGGGGAGGAATAATCCACGATCCAACGAAACGCCTCTCCACTAACGGCTAGGGAAAAATTCTGCAGGTTCGAGATATCATATGGGAGGGAGACGTCTTCCTCGGGTGGTGCGGGGAGCGGCTTTGTGATAGGGTTAGAAGGGCATATTAGTCAAGTTCCCGCTATAGAGACTCACTAGCAAGTTTAGTTTGTCAAGACATAAGCGGCTGTTGTCGATGCTCTCCCACTGTAGCTCAGCCATAGGGTCACGAGCGTCTCCTAAACAATAGAAGTACGGAGATTAGCTATTTGTTCATGGCCTCATGTCGGGCCATGGTGTCCTACCTCGCACAAATCGGGGTACAAAACAGTGTGCCTGTCTATCCAGTAATCCCGACTCGCGTGCAACACTGATAGCTGTTAGAATATTATCTCCGGTAACCATTATTGTACCGATATTTGAATCCAAGAGTTCCTTCAGGACACCCTCCGTCGTAGGTTTCAACTTATTCTCAAAAATGATGAACCCGACGAAATCAAGATTGCTCTCAACCTCCAACCTGGTCATTTTTTGTGCCTTGACCCAACTAAGCTTGGGCAGATGTCTGGTGGCACAGCCAATCACTCGGTAACCTTTATGAGTATAGTATGAGAGCAAGTCGTCATATCCATCAGGAACTATCCAGGGTCAGTCAAGTCTCAGCGCGGTGACACAAGCACCGATAGCCAGGAACTACTAACAAGTTTCTGGGCGACAAATCTCTCTCATTGCCTCAGGGGCACCTTTGACAAAAATATCACCGCTTTTTTGACCAAAATGTCGCGTAATGACACTCGCTCTGCGGAGTTGAGATATAAACTCAAAGGACTTCAAGACACCTAGCTCGGTAGAATTCTTCCTCCTTCTATGTCAGTGGTGAAATTAATCGTTGAAGGGGCCGGGGGTTACGTACATCTGGTGGACGAGCAATCGATGGCGTCAGTCCGCTTTGTTCATCATCATCACCCTCCACGGCTCTATGTTTTCCCTCTTCAAACGACCAGCCAGTGAATTCGAACATCTTTTGATCCAGGGGATCACCAACGAGGTCTCCGTCAACTGATCTGAGAGAGTGGCATGTTGCCATTGTGTAAAGTGCCGCTTGGACAGTGTTCTTGTTTTTGGGCGCGGTGCCCCTATTTCCAAGGACAGGTGCTCGAGACAAGAGCTCGCTAAACTGTTTGCCTTCTCCCAAGCTGATGCGGAGTCCGAGAACATCGAGGCCATCCTCTGTCAATGTGCCTGTTTTATCAAAGCACATTACGTCGATTTTTCCCCCCACGTTAACTCTCTGCGGACTGATGCAGAAAATCTGCTTTTTCTTCAGGCGCGATAAGGCAAAGTTCGTGCCAATTGTCAGTGTCGCCGGTAGAGCAGGTGGTACAACGATCGTGATTAAATCAAGAGCACGAACAATAATAAAGTGCCATGCAAGTTCCAGCCTTAGAAAATTGACAAACGACATGATAAAGCCCAGCATGGCAACAATGGCCATAACACTAATATATCTGAAGGAATCTCGGTAGAATTTAAAACCCGAGGGCTTGGGAAAAAGCATGGACCGTACCAGAGCCCCTTTGGTAGTGTTGAACCCTGTTCTAACAACAAGAGCTAAAGCCACGGCATCTTCATCTTGGCCCTCCTGGGGTCGTCTAGTCCGAATTATTTTCGTTCCACAGTATAGGAAATGCCGTGCAATCTCAGGAGATACTGAAGCAGCCGCGAGGTCCATGAAACACAGCGTTTCATCCGTAGCGGGGATCTTAGAAACTGGGACGGACTCGCCTACTCCCGTCAGATGTACTCCATATTGACGTAAATTGTCATCCCTTACCAGTAAGCATGCTTTCATTGACAATACAGTCACCGGTGAGCAAGAGACTGTCACTTGGGAATTGTGACAAATTCGGGTCGCTCAATTCATAAATATCTCCCGGGACCAGGTCGCTGGACGACACGTATTTCCCTGTATGTGTATTAGTATTTCTGTCCTGATGAGGTCATGGGTTCATTTGGAAGCCATACAAAATCCGTTTCTGAGAACTCGTACATCGCATTCGAACCGGGAGATTTCACGAAGGCGCAGCATTGTCTGGTGATATTAGCTCGGGTTTCTGCCTGTTTTTGGTTTGTGAACTTACAGCACGTGTCTCGATTAGCGTCGCAGATATGCTGGCTACGGACATGATGAATATGCAGGCAGCATAATAGTAGTAAGAGTCCAGAGACCAAAGAATCAGGCTACCAATCTGAAATATATAGAAGGGATGAAGGACCTAGTCAACTCCAATTAGTCGTGCTCAATGATTCATCCTTGCTGGTACAGGGATCAAAAGGGCTCGATACCTCTTCTACGAGTAGTTGACTAATGGTTTTCTGTTCAATATCTATCAGGTTGTTACCAAAGATGGCTTCACGTATAGTCTTGTCGTCGCTGTCCAAGCCTGATCGAACAAGTCGTGCGTCTGTCCATTCTGGATCTTTCCATCCAGCAGACATAACAAATTGATCTTTGATCGGATGAAAATAAAGTCGAACATAGCGGTAATCCAGCGAACGAAGATGGTCTATAAGTGGGTCGTTGTCATCGTCGAGGCTGTTGAGAAATGGCTTCTCCGGTATACCAAACACCGATGAGACAGGTCTACCATATTCTTGGGTCGTGACCTGGATGATGCTCAACTCACCCCATTGGTTTTCAATGACTACCCAATCGCAATTCCTTAACGAACAGGGCCGTCCAACAATGGAGATATACCAACGTGGCAGCCAGCGAAGGAGCAGAAATGCAATCCCGCCAGTAAGGAAGCACAGGGCTGTGTAGATCAAAAAACCTGCTGTACTCGTCCGGAAACCGGCTACGACGATGGTCAGATCCTCGTTTGCCATGTACACCTTCTGGCTATTTCGCCCTTCGGCGCGAGCACTGGCAACTGTGGCCGTGCTGTCTCTACGGAGAAGGTGTGCGTGAACGGAATCTCGCGACTGTGCTGACGAACGACGCCTTAGCATGTAATCATCGTGAGTTGCCAAATATTCTCGGTCCGCTGAGTCCTCCTCGTCCTCGATGCCAAACTCGAGGTCGCCGAGATCGCTAAGGCTCCGCCTAACAAAACTTTCACTTAGGTCGGTAAAGGCGCCTGGCTGTTCCTCTCTTTCTCGTATCTCGGGCTCCTCGTAATATGTGAAGCTTGCTGTCGAGCCAGCACGGGCTCGGCGGTGGGAGAATGCAGAAACACTGCTGGGTAGACTTTCGGCCACAGGGCCTGAGTAGAGCTATGAACCAGGCAATTAGTTGAATGAGCCGAGTAGATGGCCTTCTTCGTCATGAGATGGGTACCTCGTCGTGTGCCATTTCAACATCTTCGAATACACTGGAGCTGCTCTGGTTGGAGTTCAGGCGATATAACGTCGTTGGTCCGCTGGCGACAGACGTGCCGTCGCCGCGACTCAACCTATGTGCTCTGTCATGATCCATCACCTGATCTCGCTCTTTACACGTCCACGTGGCATATCTGGGAGCTTCAGTTCGGCGTCTTCACTTGCAATTAACGGCGGTCAAGGCTACGATAGCCAACTTATGGTAAGAAGCGTCAACAGGTATGGATGTGGTTCTGGCATTGGCGATTAGAAAACATGGTTGTGCAGGCTCACTAGCTAGCTCCAGAACTTGCCCAAGGGTCAACTGGTAAGTTAGTTAAATACCTACCTAGGTACCTAAGGCAGCTAACTAACGTTACTAGGTAGATCTGGCGCGAAATTAGCCCACCCCCGCTGACATGGAATAAATGATGTCGGTACGTACGGAGTACTCTCTCCAGCTTTGGCCTGTTGAGCCGCAATTGCATTCAATCCCAGGCTGCGCGGAGCGAACTCACACTTTTAGTCCATCGCCAGTAATGTTATGGTACATTCACATGGTATTATGTTTACTCTGTAGTCCGCTTTGTTAGCCAGCGTTTGGCGCTGATGGTGGGCCGAGTCAGGTAAAGTTCGTACATTACTCCGTATTATTATTCGAATACCTGAGCGCCTAGTTAGTTCTCTCTCTGCTCCCACCACTACCCTATGGCTCACCCTTATCTTTTTCATTTTTTTTTCCCCTTACAGACACTGCGAGTAGAGGGGCTTTGGATAGCACGGTTGCTACCCCATTACACCGCTGAACCTTACGTACCTACTAGTTATGTACCGGTTGGCATATGAAAATATACCCTAGGTAGCAGAGATGTATCCCGCCGATAGCTCGATTCAAGTCGTCCACCTGTATTCAGTGTTCGGATCAACAAACGACTCCGACCATTGTACAAGCCCCGGAGGTGTGACTGAATGGCCATAGTAGGCGCGATAATATGGATCACCCTGTCAACGGACGGCGTATGCGCCTCGTTTCCAGGCTAATAGTCAAAGGGTGTGATATCTCTACTGCCGGCGGGTCTAGAAAATGACGGAGACAACAATGACGGTGTGAATTACTCAATAGGTACATATGAATGCTTTTACACGGGAATTGTTATTTGTGAGGCGGCCTGCCGGAACACTGGCACTATGCGAGGATTGTGCATTGTGCTCCAAATTCGGAAAACTGGCGTCGATTCCCTTCCTCCCTTCAACTCGAACATTTGACTTCACTGTTTGCTGAGTGACCTAAGGAGTCGTCGGGTTCTGAGTAGTTTTTGACTGGGCTGCTTGTATTAGGTCTGTCCGGGCCTGGCCCAACAAGCTGAACTCCCACCAGACCACACCGCGCCCATTTTTTTTTTTTTTTTTTTTTTTTTCCCTCGCGCCCCCC